CAGTCCTCGAAGTCCTGGAACTCACTTTGCAGACCAGGCTGGCCTCGAACTCACAGAGATCCGCCTGCCTCTGCAGGCCAAGTGGTGGTGGCAGTGTGCCACCACCACCTGGCTACTTCACAATAAATTTCAACACAAATGATTTTTCAAAATTATTTTCACAGGGGGAAAAAAAAAGTCCAGCAATGTTAACAAAAGCACTGATTCATTTTAGTGTCTCAGCTTAAAAAGAAATATGCCGCTACCCCATGAGCCAAATACGAAGGGCTTGTTTAGATACAGACACAGTCACACAATGGTATTCTCTCAATGAATGGAAAGACCTATCTAGGCAGAATTTCAGAAAAATCCTACCCACAGGAAACAGCATTGTTTGAAATCCCAGAAAACAAGTCAGGGCTCACAGGTTTTAAAAAAAAAAAAAGCACCACACAGTCGAACCCACTCACCAGGAAGGCCAGATGGGGCTGCCAGGATAGCCTTACAGTGGCCATTCAGAGCCATAACCAAAGAGGTGACTAACTGACTTAACCTAATCCCCAGTGCCAGCCCAGGCCTCCACAGCAGGCACAAGTCCTCAAATTTACTAATGAATGGAGGCTCTCCCTGATGAGGCTACCTCTCAGCCGGGGCGGCTGGATTTTCTGTTTTGAAATCTTAGTGAGAACTTCTCTGCAGTCACAAAGAAGCACCTAGAACAATAGATTCACCTCCTTCATCAGCCTACACCCTGCTCCCTCTCTGGATGAGGAGCCTGAGGAGCAAAACCCCTTCCTCCATCGGATTAGGAACAAATCTGCATTTCTCCCTGGGATACTTCGAGAGCAAACTGTGAGCTGCAAAGCAAGTTTTAAAAGTTCTCTCTAGAGATTACGCAAATTGAAAACCACCAAGAAATTAGGCTTAATCATGCACTCCAAAAAAGAGATGAATAAAAAAAAAAAAAACACGTTCTGTAGTATTAAAAAAAAACAGAGGTAAATGTAAGCCGGTAAAAATGTTCCAGCACACTACAGTTGGTTGGGCCGTTTTGTTTGTTTTTAATACTATGGCCACATCCTGAACACAGACACATTGCTGGCAACCTTGTATTTGAGGCAAAATAAAAAAGTAGAATTACAGAGCCTAGAGAATTAATAAGAATTGCATAAATATTTTTATTCTCCTTCATTCCCAATAATCACAACATGCTAAAATTTTCAAGAGAAATCATTTAAGACAGCCCCGAAGTTGCAGTAAAAGAACAAACGTCAGAAAAATAGACAATAACCCACTAAGGCTTGCGATGTAGTGAGTGAGCAGCGTTACTGGACAGTGTAAGTCTAAACGCTTCTTTCTTATCAACTTTAGCGATAGACTCACGTCAGGACTTCTCTCCAAAAATGAGCAAGTATCCTTTATAGTTCTCGGTTTATAGAATATTGGTGGGCTAATAACATTGCCCAGGAGCTTGGGGCAGCTGTAAACGTGTTAGGGTTCCCACTTCTGCCGACCTCCACAATCTAATGATGGAAATATACAGACACCCATACTGAACAGACAAGAACAAGGCTGGCTCTGTGAGAGCCTCTTACAGGCCCAGAGGGGGACAGAGGGCAGACTGGAGAAAGACAAGGTGATGTTCTGGGCCTGGGGTGGATGGGACCTGCCCACCCTTCAGGGGAACAGCTGAATTCACAGCTCAAGCTCTGACGCCCCCAAAATACTTCAGATATTTATAGCTAAAACAGTAACATACATACCCAATCCACATCCAAAAATATTCCATGTAAAATACACACAATGAAACTTGCCAAGGCCACGGTTTCTTTCCCACTTCCAAGCTGAGTCACTGTTACTCTGGACCTGGTACAGCTCTGACACACCCCTCTCTGTCTCCCGTGGAGAGTAGTTTGACACTCTCCACTCCATTTCTGAACAAGACTGTCTGACACCTATTTCTACTTTATCTCCCCAAACCTAAACATACAGGTCCTTGGCAGACACTGGTGGCAGGCCAAGCCTAGCTCAAATAACTGTGATAAGTGGATGAATGCCATTGAAGAATTATAATACCCAACAGGTATTTATAAAACTAAATCACCACTTTATGTATCAACAAAAAACAGTGAGACTAAGACAGGCAAGCTCTGTCCAACAGCAAACCACTGTTTGTTCATTGGTATAATCTTGTTCAGAAACAATGCCCCCTCCTCACAGTGGGGGACAGGGAAAAATGAGGGTTTGGGCTCAGAGGTCCAGAGCTTGCCTAGCATGCCATGTCTGGGTTCAATCCATACAGTAGGAAATGTTAGTTATTAACAATCTCATTGGGTCCGAAGATGCTCAGAGGGAGCGCACATTTGCATGCCTGTGTCAGAGGAGGAAGTGTCTTCCACAGCCTTTGGAAGACAGCATCCACTGGGTATGCAGTTACACACTAGATCTGCACAGAAACAGGACAGATAGTGGACAATCCCGGCTCTCCCAAGAATCCCTAAGCACAGTCTAAGACTCAAAATTACCTTGGAAATATATACAGCGCCCAGAAAACACAGAAAAACACATGTTGTCCAGGACATAAAGCACGGGCATTTCAAAGATAATTCCTGAACATTTTCTTTTTGTGTTCTTTAAAAAAAAAAAGTCTATTGTCTAAATATGCCACTAAATAAAGAAAAATGAGAAATTTTAAATTTGTTTTAAACACCTACTTCCTATAATGAGCAAGTAGGATTATGGCCAGACACCTGCCTGGTATTGTTAGCACAGATTTAAAATAATAAGGTGGCACAATGACAGATATTATCAAAACAAAGGTAAGTTTTTTGTGACTTCATATCCTAACCTCTGCAACAGAGCAAAAAAATCTCCCTCAAGCATCAATGTCTGAAGGTGTACTTCTTTCCCAAATATAATTTCTGGTGTTATTACTGTTGACACTGGGAACTTTCAACATTCATTCAAAAAGATTAGACAGTAGCTTAACTGTAAACAAATTTTAAAATCTGCATTTCCTTGAAGAAAAAAAACTAGGCCAGGTGTTTCAACCAAATTCACTGTTGCAAAGTGCCTTACAAAATAATGTGGCAGCAGCGTGGAAGGCAACCGGGATGGGATGCCACTTCTAATAATAAGTAACAAAAATAAGACCAAAGAATAACACGCCGGATGCTACTTCCTTTATAAGGTTGCAACTTGCTGCCTCCAAGTACTCTACAAAGCATTGCTCAAGAAACTGTCAAAATGAAGGCTTATGAAAACATTCTTTTCTAAATAAGGACTCTAACAAGGGATGTGTTGTTTCTAGCTATGATTTCTGCGGCAAGTATTGACAAGTTCAACGCTGGGATAATGTTCACAGAGCAAAGACCTCTTATTTGATTTACCAATAGAAAGAGTGCCTGCCTGCCCTGCTCGTCCTTACAATGCCTGCATTCAGTAGGAGAGATCAGCTTTACGGAAGGCACCTGCTAGGCGGAACAGCAGTTTATAGAATCAACTTTTATTTCCATCAGAAGTTGTTCCTTGTCCCCCCCGCCCCCGAGTCCTACACACCCCGGCAACCTGCCTTGCTGTATTTTCCCTCTACCCTCCCAAAAGAGCTTCTGGCGTAGAGTCCAGGTAATATTTTCCCTAGTTCAAAGGTTAAGACAAATTTAGCTCTCTAGAGCGCTTGCCCCTCGGCCAGTTCCCCCCTCTTTTAAAACCACAGCCTAGGACTTAGTGGTCCCACATTCTCGAAAGTCCACAAGAAAAGCGATTGTAGGTGACGACGAACAAAGCTGGAACAGTAGGAAAGATCGACAGCATTCAGGCCCCAGGTCGCCCTAGAAGTCGGCCTCTGTAGAAGCCAAAAAAAAAAAAAAAAAGAGGCTCGGCCGGGCCCGAAGAACCTGCCGCCCGGAAGCAACAACTCCCATTAAAAGGCAAAGAAAAGTTGCACAGCAGAGCTCGATCCGGCGAGCAGCTTGCGCCGGTGCCTGCCTACAAACAGGGGGCCCGGGCTGCGCAGGCCCGGCCGCGGGCGGTGGCTGTG